ACTGTTTAGTTTCCCTTTTTCCATCCTCTGTATTTCAGGGAGTCCAATATTTTTCTGCAATACCTGATTAAAAAGGGCTGATACTTCCAGCTGATTTGTCAGAATTTGTGGCATTGCTCATAAGAAAGTGCTCACATTTCCACTGTATATCATGGCTGCCAAATATAACAGATGTTTCTTCTTGTGAGCCTGATACTTTCTTTGCTCCACTATTATACAGGTGTTAAATGTAATACGAGAGATCTGAAAAGAACATTTGTCAGAAAATACAATAAAATATAAACTATCCAAAGAGTACTTGGAAAATGTGTGAAGTTTTTGTCATAATAGAAAAAACTGTATCTGGTTAGGAGACTTTTTTTGGTTTGTGTCCTAACAGGAGTAGAAGAAAACCAAGACAAGACTGAGTGAAATATAATGAAACAGTAATTTTTGGAAAAGAAAAAGAAACAGGAGTAGAAAATAAAGAAAGAAAGAAAAAAGAAAGCATTGGATCCAAGAACAAAGAGTTTAAGAAAGGTCAGGCACTAAAGCTAATGAAACCACTGTAAGAGGATAAAGTTATGAAGAGGTACTAGTCTGCTGAAGAAGTGAGAGCAGAACCAAAGTCCCCGTTACACAGGCAGGATGCAGGAGCAGAGGAGCCTTCCACCAAGGTCAAATACAAAAAGCACATATGCAGGAAGTGGTAACTAAGACAGGTTGCTGAGGACGGGTATAAATAAGCATACATGGTAAAATCCAGAAAGGGCAAGTCACTAGAAGAGATACAGTTAACAAGAGATCTGAAGAAATTTGTTCTGGAAGCAGAAAGAAGACCAGTATTAGCACTGGCCAGATATTCAGCAGGAAGGAAGACTATTGCCAAATGAGACTGAGAAAGCCAAACTGAGAAAGCCAAAGTTCTTACTGCCTTCTTTGTATCAATATTCACTAAAAAGATTCAGTAAAACCGTCTGTCTAATACCAGTGACAAAAGGGTAATATTTCAGACTAGAAATATTAGGAGCAAATTAAAGATCCTTCAAGAGTTTTTTGGTTTTTTTTAAAACCATGTAAATCTGACAAACTAGGATTAAAAACCCAAACAAACAAACAAACAAAAACCAAACCAAAAACAACAAAACAAAAGAAATCTGGCCAAAGCAATCTCAGAACTGGGGAGTGGTTAAGTCTAAAAATTCAAAATTCTTGTTCTAAACCATTGAAAAAGGTCACTAATAGGCTATTTTATAAAAGTTAGAATGGAGGCATTGCAGACCACCCAATTTATTTTCAGTTGCTGGATTGTTGTATGTATTCCAAAAGAAGACAACAGCAAGATAAGCAGCAGACAGTTGTCCAAGAAAACATGAGTTTTGGGAACACGTTAAAGGAAATTAGGTTGGTTGGGCTATTGAAGAGAGGCCTGAGATCTGGCACATGCATCACTTCAGATCAGAAAAGACTCTCAGAAAGAGAAGAGCTAACAGTCCTCCTCCTCTTCAGCAAATAGGTAAAAAAGGTATGTGCTTTCACTGTCAGATAAAACACAAAGGAACACTTGTATTCCTGAAGCAATTAAGCAAAGGAACACAGAGCCTGTGTGCACTGGACAATCATCACCATCACCAGCCTTTAGGAGGAGATTAGACAAACATCTCGTCCGTACCTATTGGCAGAGATAGAGTATTAGCACTTTGAGATCTATTCTTTCCTTACCCTCCAGTAACTGCTATCACCATGAGTGACCTGATAGGTGCAAAAAAAAGTTGTGTGATTTCAGTACCTCCCTTATGTACCACCACCATTCAGTCTTTTTGTCTGTTTAAAACAACGGGGTTTTGAATGTATCCCTGTTGAAAAGTTATTTTCCTAGAACACTCCCTACAAAAGCAAAGCTGGAAAAATTAGGGGAGTGATTGTGTTCAGAAAACAAATTAATAGTTCACAGAGAAATATGGCTGTAGACAACATCCTGTCTCAGAGAAGGAGCCACTTCCAGACTTCTGACTCTGGCATGAATCACACCTCAGCTGTGTTGGAGAGTCGCTATGGCCAGTTGTCAACAACTTCTTCTAGGAAATCAGCTACAATCCGCCTGCTGACATGCACTGAATGGGCAAATGACACCATGAAGCACTGGTGATAGACACTTCAGGATCCAGGTGTAAAATCTCAGAGCAAAATTATGAATATAGGTTGCATCTCTCTTATCTTGCATCATGAACCACATCAAGCTGCCTTCCAAGTGTAAGTGGTCCTTCTTGGTGCCAGTATCAGGGCAAGGATCCCCAGATCACTCCTGTAAAATCGGCTTAGGTAAGAAATCACTCCCTTGCAACATTATCAGATTTAAATAACATTTTGATTTTTTACTACTATGTTACAAATGAAGATGCCTTCCTGATACCTGGGAGCCTACAGCACCTCATACCTTCTTTAAAAAGCCTTTTTTTCATCACTTATCATGTTGCGTAGCAGAAAACTTCTGCAATAAACTTTCTTATCTGCTTATCTGATCCCAGTTAATTTTTTTTGTGAAAACCATAGCCAACATGACTCCATCATTTCCAAGCATAAGACAAAGAAAAATACATTGTTTTGCTCATCTTAAAAATACTGGCAGTGATGTTTTTGTATCATATCTTTGCTTGTGTAAGATACACATTTTAATTGAGACCAGCCACTAACAGTGATGGCAGCAAGAGTCAGAAATTACTTGAAGGCATTTTTCCATTGTTCCAAACTGTGCTGCTTTCACAGAAGGCAGTGCTGAGAAATTCCCCTAAGTATCTCAGGAAAATAAAAAAGACTATGTGATTTTGGTCAGACTAGAGTGCTTCAGTGATGCCAGACTCTTTTCAGTGGCCTTTGGGGTCAGGTGGATACACAGAGATACATGAACATCAAAACGATGAAGCTGCTCTTGGCCCTGCCCCTTGTCTGGTCCCTCTGAGAGATGGAGCTGTGCCTGAGGACATCTGAGCTCCATGCAAATCACACCACACTTCAATAATGAAAGGGAGCTAAAGTTACAGTCAGCAGAGATCATAACTCCCACCACTGGTATAGACCAGAAGCAAATGCAGTTGATCTGTCCCTTAGAGGGTGTGGGGAAAATCATTTATGTTTCTTGTCACCAACCAGGTTGCGGGTTGGTGAGGTGAAGTCTGAAGAGCTGAGTACCTCTTCACACAGGAGCACAACAGGCTCTTGTCTGTACCTCAGGAATTCTGGTCACTACCTTGGCCTTTCAGCTGTTACCAGCAGCTACAACCTGGGAAAGCTTCTCCTGCCTAAGCTGTGTACAGAGCTCATCAGCTGCTTTAGAAGAGTTGCTCTGGAAGTGTTTCTCAGAGTAGGATCATGGTTGGCACATCAAGTCAGGAGATGTTTGGGTTTTTGTATCTGATAGATAATAATTAGACAATTTTTGTTTCTGGAGGAGAGATTAAAAAAGTAAGAAGTCTGAATTAGAGTATAGCCAATTTCCCACTTCAGAGGGATCAATGTTTAATTGAAATAGGGTGGAGAGTATCCACAGAAAGCAACAATTCAATTGCAATTATCAGGGGGTTTTTTCCCTAAAAAAAATAGTATTCTAAAGAAAAATATTTTTTATTAGAAGTACGTAGTTCCCACCGGTATTCTGCTAAACAATTTCACTTTGTCTTGAGATTTCCTGGGCTAGATATTGTATCTAGATGTTATCACACAGCGATTCACTTATAAAAATATCTTCGAAAATAGGTACCTGGATGTTGTGTGACTCACTGTCACACTGTCTCAAAACAGTAAAATAGAAAAAAAAGTTGACTTTTCTGAAGAACATAACTGAAAATAACCGTTTCTGACAAAAGCTGAATTTACTTAACTCCACCTTTGAGAAGAAAATGGAGGAATTTTTGGTCAGGCAGTATTTTATTCTTAACGTTTCAGTTAGTAGATATAACCAAGACAATTCTCTGGAGTTACCAGGCATCTCTTTTCTTGTTCCTTGTTTATACCAACTATATCCCATCTTTATTTTTGACCTCTTGGAAAATGCAGTGCAGGTTATGTAACTGCAATCCCATTCTTCCATAGGGGATGACAGAGAACAATTTTCAGCATTTCCACTTCACTGAGCAGCCTGGGGCACGATGTACTTGTTCTTTTTCACTAACCCATGGGGTTTATTTCCACAGCACACTATCTATGAGTGATATAGGTAGACAAGATTTTTTTTTAAATATCAGAAAATTCAACATTTTATTTTTTATCAATCTACACATACTGAGAAATTTCAGATAATTTTCCTCAATGCTTAAATGTACACTCTTCTTTGTGTCTCTCCATTCTGACAAATGGTAAAATTATAATAGAGTATTTATTTGTCCAGTTGAAACAAGAACCAGCCTGAAATCCACTACTTATCATCCAGAGCACAAAACCAGGAAAAACCTCTCCTCTAATCACAAAAAATTCTCTGATTCATCAAAATTTTACCCTACTACAAAACTCATCCTCTCAGATTTAGAACAGCTGCAGTTCCCTGCTAAAAGCATTGCTGCATACTTACCATCACAGAGAAACAACCCTTGTGTGTAATACCAGAAATAATATGTGGGACTGGGGACTATGGGAGACACCTAGCTGTTATCTGGTTCAGTGAAATGTAAGTTCATGATTCTCAAGAATTTCTCCCGATACTTCCACACATTTTCTGTGTTGGTTTATTTGTTTTACCACAACAATATTACACACAAGGATTATTTCTCTGTGATGGTAAGTAACTGGTGAACATTTTACAATATATGATTGTATTTTTGCACATATTTTATATACTTATTTTATTTTTTTGTATAGTGACCGGGCTGCAGCTTCCACCTGGCGGAGGTGCCATGTGGGTTCCTGTGCCCAAGAACCACGTAGTTCCATGTGGTTCCATGTGGTTCCATGTGACCCCATGTCACAAAGGGGCAGAGATGTGGCACCCATCCGGTGATTATGACCTCGCCTGCCCAACGCTTGGTATCCTGAGGAGCGCGCCAACGAAAATCAGTTGGACAGAGTTGGCCTTCGGGATAACTCAGCTCCTTCCTTTGCTACTCGTGCGACTGCCTTTTTTGGACGGTTTATTGTTTACTGACCATTTCTCCTCAACTTTCATCCTCTTTCAAAGGTAATGCTTTGACTTTTGGCACAGATCATAGAGCAGGGTATAGGGGATAAAAGTAGAGGCTGATTTATACCTTCCTAGCTGTAGGCTGAGCTGGAACAACTTTTATAGGCTGGCCAGGTATGGCCTAGGCTAGAATTCCAGTTTGCTGCTTCTTGGTTTTTTTCCATAGCCTAGGATAGGTAAGCAGGGAGGTGACTGTAGTCTGAGGGGATGGGCTCAGCCCACCTTGATTGCTGTGGGAGGGAGGGAGACGGAAAAAGGAGAGCAGCAAAGGCAGCAGTTAAAGTAGTGGCTGAAAGATGGTCACTCCTAGGAGGTGGGAAAGCCAGAGGGCTCTGTTGCTGAAGCAGTGACAGGAGAGCAGCAGGGCCTCTTCGGAGAAGGTAGCATACATTTGAACCTGCTGTGAATTGGTGCCCTGTGACTGAGCATAAGGGCATGCGCTGCAGCTCAGCAGCAGTTACAAGCACCACTGAAAGACTTGGTGCTTGTAACTTGGTGCTTGTAAATAAACGCCGTTCTGCGTTTATTTGGAGGTTTTACACTTTCGGTGAGCTACAGTAATTTCTTTGCAATTAGGTGACAGGATTGGTGCTGTTCTCTTTCCGGAGAAAGTCCTGACATCCTTGGTCATCTAAAGCGTTGCACTCTCTTCCGGAGAGAGGAAATGGCCACAGCAGGGAATGACTCCTGTGAGTAATAGCTTCACCGGCAGGTTTGGACTTGGTGACCTGCCACAGACAACTGACATGGCTGGTGGTCAAATCCCAGAATGATGTGCTCACAACCTAGAGGGATCTCTGGGATGTTTCCTGAGAGCAGACAAACTGACCCCTGTGTTTACAATTAGACCCAGGAAAACACCTTTTGTCACTCCTCTGCCACTAGCTACAAGACTTTGAAAGCTGCCATTGCTCGTAGAGAGGTCTGACATCCTTTGGGTTACCTTCTGTGCTCAGTAGTTACTTGTTTTCAACAAGTTACAATCAGGAAAAGGGATGGCTTCACCGATCATCCAGTCTACAACTCTACTGAGAAAGGAAGGTAGCCTGAGGCCCAGAAATCAGATTGTGGGTTTGTTGGACTCTCAGCAAAGTAAACAGGGGAATGGATTTTTCCAAAACAGTCAATTGAAATGGCAGCGTTTAAGCTTCCCCCGATGTCGTTGGGTTGGAAGTTAGAGCAGATGGTCCTGAGTGCTCCTGTAGAGACCTCACTGTTTAAATATGCCTTTGCGCCTCGTTTCATCTCTTTTCCAATGGAATTTCCCTGCAGTCATTGCCGAGGGAATGACTCCGCCACAAAGGATCCTCTTTCCCCCGGAGAAGATTTGCATGGTCTGGCAGCAAAGACAGAGTGCTGGAGCAGGACTCTGCAATGCGGGCAACACGTGCTTCCTCAATGCTGTCCTGCAATGCCTGACATACACCCCGCCGCTGGCCAACTCTCTGCTCTCCCGGGAGCACAGCCGGGCCTGTGAGTACTTCTAGGGACCTCTCCTTATAAATCTGTTAAGCAAATCCCAAGCATTCCCAGAACCTGAAATTTGATTGAGGAGAACAGCAGCCCTTTGTCAGCCCCATGAACTTGTGTTCTTTGTACACTCAGGAGCCCCCTGTCCTATCCAGCTGTCTTATTCTTCATGAAGGCACATCTTTCTAGCTCTGGCTCTCTCTTCCTGCAAGTTAAAACCTCAGTTTAGCATTCCTCTGAAGAACATTTCCTATGCGCTAAAATGTCCCGTGCTTGTTGAAACACTGGGAGGAGTGGCATATTGCACTGGAGTGGGAGTGGAAGAAGAGGAGGATTCCACCACTACGGATATTTGGCTAACCGGAGGACCTTCTCTCCCTCCCTCCTCAGGTCGCCAACAAGGCTTCTGCATGATGTGCATCATGGAAGCCCACGTTAACAAGGTCCTGCATTCCTCAGCCAGTGCCATCCTGCCTTTGCCTGTTCTCAGGGGTCTCAGATGTAGGTCATTTCAGGTTCTTTGACAGCTTTTCTTCCCTTCCTCTATGAGATAACTACTAACTTCCTGTTTCTTAGTCATAGGAGAACATTTTCAGCTTGGCAGGGAGGAAGATGCCCATGACTTCTTATGCTGTACTCTCGATGCCATGCAGAGAGCTTGTCTGAGTGCAAGCAACGAGTAAGCACAAGCAAGTTACCTTTACAAAGTTGTGAGCCCTTTGGACCCCTTGATGTGGTCTCATCAAGGAAAACCTACAGCCAGGGCTTTCAGGCAAAGCAAAACTCTCGGAGGAAGTAATGCTCTGTCTTACTACTTGTTTCCAGCTTGGACATATCTTCTCAATCTACTACCATTGTCCATCAAATATTTGGAGGCTTTCTGAGATCCAGAGGTATGTTTCTACAACTATTGCTCTCCTTGTCATTGCCTGTGCCCTTCTGTCTGCCCTTCTGTGCTCAACAGCTGCTCCTGGGACTAGCAGGACAGGTACAAGGAGCACAAAGCAGTACCATCATTCAACTCACCATTCCTCGGCATTTTGATTTTTCCTTCCAGTCACCTGCTTCAGCTGCAAAGCCGTTTCTGATTCCTATGAGGCCTTCCTGGATGTCCCTTTGGATATCAAAGTAAGAGGTTTTGCACTTGTGCTTCAAGACATCGCAAGGCTTTTAGAGTCAACACATTTGTCCTGAAAGCATATACTGGGAACACAAGAGGTCTTGGTCGTGGATGGGAAGGGGAATGGCTGTTGTCCTCCTGCAGAGGCCATGGCACTCGTCTCTCTGTAGGTGCTGGCTTTAAGCTGGACAAGCACCCATTATGCTCTCTGCACCCTTGACATATTCTCATCCTTCTTCCCTTTGCCCTCCTTCAACCCCTGTCTGGCTTCCAGGCTGATGGCTTGGATTGGTTTCACTACTGATGACCCTACATAGCATCAGTAGCTGAATGGGAGGCGGTACAGAGAGGGAGGTCTTGATTGCCCCTGAGAACCTCTGGGACAGGGCAAATGTTCAGCACCACACTCTCTTTCTGGCTCCTTCTGGATACAGCTTGCAGATTCCTGGTGGGTCTCCTCAGCATCAACCACAGGGGTTTTCTTATCGGCTCCTGGAAAATGTTTGGGCGAGGGCATTGCCTGCAGCTCAGTGCACTCATTTCTCAATTCTCCAGGCAGCCTCATCCCTCACTGCAGCTCTGGAGGACTTTGTAACACCTGAGCACCTGGATGGTGAAAACTGCTTTAAATGCAGCAAGTAAGATGATTACTTAGAACATACTAACACTAGACTCTGTGTGAGGGGACTACAAGTAATCGAGCAGAAGTCGTCTTCTCATGGAAGTTTACTGCACACTAATGAGACACAGTTTTGTTTGTCTGTTTTTTGGGGGGGGGTTGTTTTTTTGTTTGTTTGTTTGTTTGTTAGTTTGGTTTTTTGGTTTTTTTGTGGTTTTTTTTTTTTAATATGGCACTGAATGGCCTTAAAATAGCATAAGGATGCGCGAGATAAGAAAGGTTGTCTGGCTGCCTTGGTGGAAGATGGGGTGCATTTCAGCAGTGTGCTCTGTGCTTGGTTTCAAGGTGTGAGAAGAATGTTGCCGCCGCCAAGAGGTTCACTGTCCACTGTGCACCCAAGGTTCTCACAGTGTGTCTGAAAAGGTTTGACTGCTTCACCGGTGGGAAGATCAGCAAGGTGTGTACACTATTGGTGTGCAGCTTTCTCTTCAAGAGGCAGATTTCCTAAAGCAGTATGCTTGTCACAAGCTGCTTGTGTTGAGTTTTTGGTGGTCCCTTCTGGGGAGTGGAAAGTTCCTGTGGGAAGACAGGCAAGCAGTCTGCTCTGATAGGGCTGCTTTGACTGAGAACGGTTTCCTGCCACCCAAACCGTTACATGTCACTTTATGGAAAACCAAGTGTTCAGGACCCCCAGAGATGTATTGATACACCTGGACTGGCCCCTGTACTTGGGAGGCTATTTCATGTCCCAGACCAGGATCATTTCTGAGCCCTCTCGGTCTCTCCATAGGTTGTAGAGTATCCGGAGGACTTGGATCTTCGCCCATACATGTCTCAGGCGGATGGAGAACCACTCCTCTACTCCTTATATGCTGTCCTGGTGCACAGTGGTGTCAGCTGTCATGGAGGACACTATTTCTGCTACACAAAGGTAAAGAGCAACTTCCTTCCCAATGGGCAAAAATGTGTGCTGGGGAAGAGAAACTTTCCTGTCAGTGTTACTGACAGCCAAAGTTTTGGGGCAGAAGGCCTCCTGAGCGGCTGGGCTACATTTGTTTTGACATGCTCTTGGTTTGGCAGTTTTCTACCTGTGTTTTTGGAGAGAAACCATGCAGAGATTCTTGCCTTTTTTTTACAGGCCAGCAATGGATTGTGGTACCGGATGGACGATGAGTCTGTGAAGCTGCGTTCCATTGACACAGTTCTCAGGCAGCAAGCCTACCTGCTGTTCTATGCCAGGTAATAACCAGGATTCAAATATGTTCAGAACACACTTCCTTCTCCTCATTTGCAGTTGTGCCTCTCACCTTCCTGAGTGTTTTTCTCATCAAATGAAATTACTACCTGCATCATTCAGTGCTGTCAAATCTGAACTACTCCATGTCTGTCCTTTGCTGGGCTTCAGGCTGCGGCCCGGATGTAATCTGCTACTTGTCTGATCTCTGATGCTGACTCTGGTAGATAAGAGGACCTAAAGAGGGCCTCCAGAAAAGATGGGGAGGCACCATTTGTCAGGGAATGTAGTGACAGGATGAAGGCTACCAGTTTTCAGCTAACAGAGGGCAGGTTTACATTAGATATTAGGAAGGAATTCTTTGCTGTAAGGGTGCTGAGACACCGGCACAGGTTGCCAGAGCATCTGTGGGTGCCCCATCCCTGGAAGTGTTCAAGGCCAGGTTGGACAGGGCTTGGAGAAACCTTGCATAGTGCAGGGTGTTCCTGCCCACAACAGTGGGGTGGAACAAGATAAAGTTAAAGGTCCTTTGCAACCCAAACAAATCTGTGAATTTATGAAATGGAAGCTGTAGGAGGTATAGAGATGAGGTTTTTGTTGGGACAGAGGTAAAGCTGGTGGGAAGACCCTAGCTAAGTTTCCCATTAGTGCTCTATTGATAACAGTTTCTGGGAAATGGCATGGAAGGCTATAGAATACACAGGTTTGGGTTACACCCATCCAGTGATGAATTGGTCCAAGCTGTTCTAAGTAGGACAGTTGGGACAGAGGCAAAGCTGGTGGGAAGACCCCAGCTGAGTTTCCCATTAGTGTCCTTGGTTAAGTCTTCTCTCTGTCATAGAAACCTCTCTGAGAAAACGACTGAACCCCAGAGGAGGTTGCAACAACAGCCCTAAACTGAGATCACTCTTTTTTTTTCTCCAGGTGCTCTGAGCTGAGAACTGCACAAAGGCCGCCTTCCTCCCTGGCACCATCACATGCCCCTTCCTCCCTCAGTCAGCGTGCGGCCAGCAGCAAGCAGGCGGCTTCTGTTGGACCCCAGGCTCTGACTGGGAGGACTAAGGTAACTTTGGGGTCGTGGGTCAGGGCATCAGAGGAATAGTGGATTTCTTTCTGGCATCTCAGCATTTCTCTTTTGTCCCTCACACACCCCACCTTTCTTCACAGCCACAACGCTGCTCCCTCTCAAAGCATCCCACCTGCATCCATCCCTTTTGTGCACCTCTGGCCTTTTGGTCTTAGGAGCCCTCCAAAAGAGCCTTTTGGAGGCCCCAAACTGTCCTGTCCCAGAACTTGTAGGGGTTCCCCACTGCTCTGATCCTTTCAGGAGAAAAGGACAGGAACTCTTCACAGCTCTCTTTGCAGGGCATGAAGTCCACTGGCAGGGAGCGCTCCCGGAGCAGATCCCCTCTCTGGGGCAGGGATCTCCGCAGCTGGTCTGTGGAGACCGCGGACTATGAGGACCCTGCCAAGAGAGCAACGGGTCCTCCAAGTCATCGGCGTGCTCGTCGGGAGAGCGCAGCTGCAAGACCTCCCAAGACCATCTGCCAGTGGGCTCCTGGTGCCAGGGCTGCTCAGCAGCAAACCTTGCTGAGGCAGAGGGAGTCAAGCAGATCTGTGCTGGGGACTTACAACCTTCACAGCCCATTTGTGCAGTACACAGACTCTGACCGGTCATCGAGGAAGAGAAAGAG